AGAAGCCAGACACAAAAGGCCATATACTGTAGATTCTATGAAATGTCCAGCCTAGGCAATTCATAGAAAAAGAAAGTAGATTAGTGGTTGCCAGGTTTTAGGGGAGGAGGAGAATGGGGAGTGACTGCTAATAGTACAGGGTTTATTTTTGGGGTGATAAGAATGTTCTGGAATTAGGTAGTGGTCATGGTTGCACAACTCTGTGACTATACTAAGCACCCCTGAATTGTCATTTTTTTTTAAAGGGTGAATTTTATGTATGTGAATTATCTCAGTAAAGCTGTTATTAAAAAAACATCCTAGTTCTGCCTTTTATCAGTTGGGTGACTTTAGGCAATAACTCTAAACCCAAGTAATCTCAGCTATGAAATAAGAATAATGATATACACCCCCCAGGGTCATTTTGATAGATCATGAATTTAAAAATGCTTCTGCACTGTAACCCTCACGTATTTTGGGGCTGTGAGTGGGTTATAAGTTCATTATAAATTGGGCTTTTATCTTCTCCTCTTGTATTTTCTACAGCACTAACAAGGTCTGCCTACATAGTAATTGTTCAAATAAAAACTTTTTGAATTGATGCAAAAGTGTTGCATTTTTTTAATTGTGGTAAAAAAATAACAAATTTTTAACAAGTTTTTTTACCCTTTTAATAAATTTTTAAGTGTACAGTACTGTATTGTTAACCATATGCACATTGTTGTACAACAGATCTTTCTAGAACTTTCTCATCTTGCATGACTAAAACTTTATACCCATTGAACAGCAGCACCCCTTTTCCCTCTTCTGCCAGCCCCTGATAACTACCATTCTACTTTCTGTTTCTATGAATTTGACTACTTTAGATACCTCATATAAATGAAATCTTGTCTTTTTGTGATTGGCTTATTTCACTTAAAATAATGTCCTTAAGTTTCATCCATGTTGTAGCATGTGTCAGAATTTCTTTCCTTTTTAAGGCTGAATAATATTCCATTGTACGTATATACCACATTTTCTTTATCTGTTCATCAAACGATGGACATTTAGGTTGTTTCCACCTCTTGGTTGTTATGAATAATGCTGCAATGAACATGGGAGTGCAGATCCTGTTTTCAATTCTTTTGGAAGAATGCTGAGAAATGGGATTGCTAGATCATATGGTAGTTCTATTTTAAAATCTGAGGAACCTCTACGTTTTTCATTCCCACCAACAGTGCACAAGGGTTCCAATTTCTCCACGTCCTTGCCAACATTTGTTATTTTTTTGTGTTTTTTATGTGTCTGTGGTTTGTTTGTTGTTGTTGTTGCTTTTTTGTTTGTGTGTTTTTTGGTAACGGCTATCCTAACAGGTAAAAGGTGATATCTCATTGTGGTTTTGGTTTGCATTTCCCTGATGATTAATGATGTTGAATATCTTTTCATATACCTGTTGTCCATTTGTATGTCTTCTTTGGAGAAATGTCTATTCAAGTCTGTTGCCCATTTTTAAAAATTGGCTTATTTGTTTGTTTGGTTTTTTTTGATTGAGTTGTAGGAGTTCCTTATATTTTTTGGATATTACACCCCTTCTCAGATATGTTGTTTGCAAATATTTTCTCACATTTCATAGGTTGCCCTTTCACTCTGTTGATTATTTCCTTTGCCGTACAGAAGCACTTTAATTTGATGTAGTCTCACTTGTCTCTTTTTGCTTTTGTTTCCTGTGCTTTTGGTGTCATATCCAAGAAATCGTTGCCAAGACCAATGTCATGAAGCTTTTCCCCCTGTGTTTTCTTGTAGGAGTTTTATAGTTTCAGGTCTTATGTTTAAGTCTTTAATCCATTTTTTGGTGGTTTTTGTGTATGGTGTAAGATAAGAGTCCAAGCTTATTCTTTTGCATGTGGATATCTGGTTTTCCCAACACAATTTGTTGAAGAGACTATCCTTTCCCCTTTGTGCAATCTTGGCACCTTTGTTGAGGATTATTTGGCCATATATGTGTGAGTTTATTTCTGGACTCTCTATTCTCTTCCATTGGTGTATATGTCTGTCTTTATGCCAGTACCATACTGTTTTGATTACCATAGCTTTGTAATATGTTTTGAAGTTAGAAAGTGTGAGGCCTCCAGCTTTGTTCTTTCTCAAGATTGTTTTGGCTATTCAAAGTCCTTTGAAATTCCTTGTGAATTTTAGGATTGATTTTTTTATTTCTACAAAAACGTCATTGGGATTTTGATAGAGATTGCATTGACTCTGTAGATCACTTTGGTTAGTATGGACATCTTAACAATATAGTCTTCCAATCCATGAAGGTGGGATGTCTATCCATTTATTTGTGTCTTCTTTAATTTCTTTCAGCAATAATGCTTTGTAGTTTTCAGTGTACAAGTCTTTTGTCTTTTTGGTTAAGGTTAATCCTAAGTATTTTATTCTTTTTGATGCTATTATAAATGGAATTGTTTTCTTAATTTCCTTTTTGGATTGTTCATTGTTCATGTAGAGAAATGCAACTGATTTTTGTATGTTGATTTTGTATCCTGCAACTTTGCTGAATTCATTTATTAGTTCTAACAGTTTTTTGTGAAATCTTCAGGGTTTTTTACATATAAGAACATATCATCTGCAAACAGACACAGCGTAACTTCTTCCTTTCTGATTTGGATGCCTTTTATTTCTTTTTTTGCCTAATTGCTTTGGTTAGGACTTCTAGTATTACGTTGAATAGAAGTGGCAAGAATGGACATCTTTGCCTTGTTCCTGATCTTAGAGGAAAAGCTTTCAGTTTTTCACCGTTGGGTATGATGTTAGTTGTGGGCTTTTCATATATGGCCTTTATTATATTGAAGTAACTTACTATTATTCCTAGTTTGTTGAGTGGTTTCTTATCATGAAAAGGTGTTGAATTTTGTCAAATGCTTTTTCTGCATGTATTGAGATGATCAAATGATATTTATCCTTTGTACTGTTAATGTGGTATATCACATTGGTTGATTTTCATATGTTGAACGCTCTTTGCATCCTAGGGATAAATTCTGCTTGATAATGGTGTATGATCCTTTAATCTGCTGTTGAATTTGATTTGCTAGTATTTTGTTGAGGATTTTTGCATTTATATTCATCAGGGATATTGGCCTGTAGTTTTCTTTTCTTGTAGTGTCTGGGTTTGGTGTCAGAGTAATGCTGGCCTCATAAAATGAGTTTTGAAGTGTTCCCTCCTCTTCATTTTTTTGGAAGAGTTTGAGAAGAATTGGTGTTAATTCTTCTTTAAATGTTTGGCAGCATTCTCCAGTGAAGCCTCCTAAGCCTGGGCTTTTCTTTTTTGGGAGGTTTTTGACTACCAATTCAATCTTCTTACTAATTATAGGTCTGTTCAGATTTTCTATTTCTTTATGATTCAGTCTTGGTAGATGTATGTTTTTAGAAATTCGTCCATTTTTTCTAGGTTATCCAATATATTGGCATATAATTGTTCATAGTAGTCCCTTATAATCATTTTTATTCTTGTGACATCAGTTATAATGTCTCCTCTTTCATTTCTGATTCTATTTGGGTATTTTCCCTTTTTTTCTCAGTCTTGATAAAACATTGTCAATTTTGTTGATCTTTTCAAAAAACTAACTCTTAGTTTCATTGATTTTTTTCTATTTTCTATTTCATTTATTTCTGCTCTACTCATTGTTTTTTCCTTCCTTCTGCTAGCTTTGGGCTCAGTTTGATTTTTTTCTTTTTCTAGTTCCTTGAGCTGTAAAGTTAGGTTGTTTATTTGATATCTTTCTTCTTTTTTAATGTAGGTGTTTACCACTGTAAACTCCTCTCTTAGCACTGGTTATGCTACCTCCTATTAGTTTTGGTATGTTGTGTTTTCATTTTTGTTTGTCCCAAGATATTTTCTAATTTCTTTTTTGATTTCTTCTTTGAACCATTTATTGTTCAAGTGTGTGTTGTTTACTTTCCACATGTTAGTGAATTTTCCAGTTTTCCTTCTGCTCTTAATTTCCAGTTTCATTCTATTGTGGTTGGAAAAGATACTCGGTATGATTTCAATCTTCTTAAATTTGTTAAGACTTGTTTTGTGACCTAACATGTGATCTATCCTGGATAATGTTCTATATGTGCTTAAGAAGAATGTGCATTCTGCTGCTGTTGTGTAGAATGTTCTGTTTATGTCTGGTAGGTCCATTTGGTCTACAGTGTTGTTCAAGTCCTCTATTTCCTTATTGATCTTCTGTCTGGATGTTCTATCCATTATTGAAAGTGTGATATTGAAATCTCCTACTATTGTTGTATGGCTGTCTATTTCTCCCTTCATTTTTTTTTTTTTTTTT